AAAAAAAATGGTTTTCTTATACATATATATTTTTTGTTACGCTAGATTAACTTTAAACAATAAATCTTATTTTTTTTAAAAAAGATTATGACAAAAATTATGACGCGGTCGGGAGGGAGTCATAACTTGATAATGGAGAATGGTATATCATCAAGTGTTGGACCTATATCGATAAAAATTTGTTAAATTCTTGAGGTATAGTTCTTGGTTCGTATAAACTTTTGTTATCGATTCTAACCATTTGTGGCAGAAAACATGAGCATGATTTTTGTTTTCCAATAATTTCATTCATTATTTGCCATGTGCGTTTTGTGTCATTTTTAAATGTATTGAGTAATTGGGAGTAATAATTTTTTTTTAGATTTTTGCGAATTTTTTCAAATAGATTTTTGGAGTCCTTATAAATTTTTTCGTTTTTAGGCGTTTTTGTTTTCAAAAAATTTATATATAGTTTTTGATTAATTTTAGACGATTTTTTAAAGCTCTTAGTGATCCAGGGTGTATTGCAGCTCTTAGTAGTTATTTTATTTTAAATGATTAGGAAATTAGCATCGTATACAGAAAAAAATGTTTTGAAAAAAGACTCGTAGATATTGTTAGCATTATCATTAAAATTTATGTTATTCCAGTGCAGTAATGAAAGTTGATTTTTGAATAAATTAAGGTTAGCCTCATTATAAATGCGTTCTCGAATTACTTTTTGGGCGGTTAAAGTTTTTTTAGAGTTTTTATTATTTAATTTTAGGAATATAGGGAAATGATCTGATATATCGGTTCGCAAAATACCTACTTTTAAATCATTGTTGAAAATATCTGAAGTTATTATATTATCTATTTGAGTTGCTAAATTTATCGTTACTCTTGTAGGTTTTTTTCATCATAAAAATTTTTAACTTTAATGTTATCATTATAAAGAAAACAATTCATGTTTAAATCTCCAATTATAAAATTTTGCTTTTTTTCAACGGTACCTTTTTTAATAATTTGTTGTAAAAACATGCTAAAGTTTTCGCTTGCGCCATCAGGTGGCCGATAACAACAGCTTAGTAAAAAAATTTTTTTGTTGCAGTTAGTAATTTCTATAGTTGCAATTTCTTTATCGCAGTCAGAAACGCGTAATTTTCGTGAACATAAATTAAAACTCCACCACCGCGCTTATTTCTTTACCTTTCCATTGAAACTGTATTAAAATGAGGTAGATGGAACTTATTTAGGTTTTCTAAAGAAGTCCAAGTTTCCGTTAAACAAATTATATTAAAAACATGTTTAGTTTTTTCTAATAAGTCTAAAAGTTTTTCAAAATTGCTATTTAGGCTTCTTATATTGAGGTGGAGAATTAACATTTGATTATTATTTCTTTCATGCTCATTCTTAAAAACAAACCCTTCTAGTTGGCTAGGAAAGTAATATGAACAATCTGAAAATTTATTGTGATAAATATTGTTATCAGAGTCTAAGTTTTCAATTAACGTAGCGTAATTTGTTTTTTGAACTTTAAAAACACGAGATTTAAAGTTTTTATTTGTAGCCATGATTAATGTTTTTTATTTAAGATTTCTTTTTAGGAATGCCCATAAAATTATTCGTTAAAGTTGTTTTTAAAAGAAGTTTTAATATAAACAATTTTGTCATACCTTACCGTAACACTTTCACCAATCAATCGCCGTTTTTTCACTTCTTTTCGAATAGCGACGGTTTCTTGAGAAAAATCTTCGTTCACGAACGTATTTGTGCCTTTGAGTCGATAAAATTCCTTCAATATTTTTATTTTGTCTTTATATTTCTGAAAGTTTTATATTATAGTCCTTGGTCGTCCATCGTTTTCTTCTTATATTTTTTTTTTTAATTTTTGTCAAGCAACCATTTACAATTAAAGATAATTTCCGTAAAATATTTAGAAATATTAAATACAAGTACATTTCATTATTTATAATAGTTACAAGACCAGAGAACCTGAAGAAGATAAAGTCTTTTCATCAGTAACCTCTGATAATAAAAATTGGAAATAATCGTGTATTGTAAGAAAAAATCATGTAAAGAATCGTGATTGGCATTAAGTTCGATTATGTTCTTTTTAAATTTTTGAAAGGTATTGGCTTCTTTAAGTTTACTACTCAGACTTGTAAAAATCTTCTAAGTTTCGTTGTTTTTCTTTTAATACATTATCTATTTTTGTATGTCCCATTTTTTTATCTAAATATTTTTGCTAGTAACTATTTTTTCGTCGATAAGTCCTTCATTAAAATTAAGGCTTACCTTTATATCTTCTAATTCTTTTGTTAATTTTTTTATACAATTTACATTTCTATCAATATTTTTCTCTACTTTTTCAAATCTGTCGTTTATTAGTTTGATGTTAGCGCCAATAATATAGAGAACTGCTTTTTCTTGCTTTTAAAACTTCTTCCGTTTCCTTTTTAAATTCTTTAAACATTCGTTTCAAATGTTTCTTTATTTCTGGAAATGTTACAGCCATATTACTAAGTTAAAATTTTTTATTAAAGATACGTCTTTATTTATAATAAATAAAGACGTATTTTTTTTTTTGGCCACGAGGTAAAAAGTGCGTCCGTTCTTGTTGAAAGCTTGAGTTGTAAAAAAACTTTAGGTAGGTAAAAAAAATATATATTAAGTAGGTAGTCAAAATATTAAAATTTTCCTGTGCTTGCGTATAATAACTCACCGTTTTTTCTAATATCTAAACAACCGTGATGTCATAGTGCAACAAACTTTGTTAGAGTTAGCTTTAATCTTTTTTTAAATAAATTGACTTCCCTGACTTGAATACCAGTATTTATCTATTCAAACCAACAATCTAAATTTTCAAAAAGATTATTCGAAACTACTATTTTTCTTAAATTATCTTCATCATTCACCTTAGTTCACAACAAAATGCTTACAAAGTAAAAATTATTATTTTACCACATTTGAAAATCGTTATTATTTCAAAATTATTTAGCGCTTAAAATTGCGGATGATTGCAGCCACACTTCTCAGGGTAGTTAGTAGACGCGATAGACGAAAAAACATCAAAATATGTAAAAGGTATAAATTGAAACAATTTTTTAATTCTAAAGTTGAAAACATGTACTTCTGTGATAACTTGTTGTAACTTTTTAACTTTTAACGCATAAAAATTGTAGCATCAACCTTTTTAGTAAATTTTTTAACAGTTTATATTATAATCTTTTTAATATTGCATATACTGTCAATTAGTTATTGATTTATGTATATATAAAAAAAATACCGAAACCCAAAATCTAAATTTAATAGAAATACATTAAAAACCAAACTTCAAAAAACTAATGCCACTGATCCTACCATATTTAGAAGTTCATATAATAAAAAGTTATTTGTGAGGATGTTAGTAACAAAACCCACTGTCAGACATTGTTTGAACTATGTCACTTTTTTAATATTTGACTATACAATTTCTGCACTGTGCAACTTTAAAAGGCACCATTTTTTTTCCAATAGTTTCAACATTTAGTGAAATAAGTCGAAGAGTCCAGTTACTAGTCAAACAGTATGTTAAGTGCGTACCAGGGAGCGTATTCAGCAAACTTTCGTAACTTTTGCGTAGCTCAGCTAAGGTTACGGAAAGCGTACGTTCATCGTTGTTTTTGGTATTCACCAAAGTTTCGCAGCATTTCCGTAAAGTTAGGGTTGCGCAAAACTTACGCAAAAACTTACGCAAAAACTTACGCAAAAATTTACGCAAAAACTTACACAAAGTTAATTTTCTATTATTATTATTGTTATTGGAAATTTTTTGCAGCTATATGAAATGACAACAATATTTTTTTCAAATTCTGCTATAGAGCTAAATAAATATTTTCAATCTACTTAGTTTAAAAGCATTTATTTAGTTTATATAGCAGAATATTTTTAGCTGTAAAGTTGTTAGATAAAATAACGAGCCATTCTCAAATTCTCAACTCTCATAAATTGGATAATATAACGTATTAATTAAAAATTTTTTAATACTGATAAATATTTAAATTGTTTCTTTAAATAATATAAAATAATTTAAAAAAAAACTTTTACATCGTAAAAATCTTAATTAATTTAATTTTATTAATAATTTTAAATAATAAATAGTAATATTATTGATAATAGCATCTATAATATTGATGTTGCTAAGATGATTTTTTAATTACGGTTTATACCATTTAATATAAATACTGCTTTAATGTTTGTTAAAGTACTTTCAACATATGCATTATAAATCATATTTATTCTACTTTAAATCTTATTTATAACTACAAGTAAAAAATATTTTCTAAGGTTTAACTTTGAGTTCAATTTGCAAGTAAGGCATGCAATTTTTAGAATAAATTTATTTAAATATATTTTATTATTCATTTATTAATATGTAGTTTATTATGGTAAATAAGGTGTTGTAAAATAACATTTACATGTACTTGTGTTGGTTTTGATTTTCAAAAATTATTAAAAGGATTTAGTGTCAGAACTACCAAAAAGTTTAAAAAAACATTCTGAAAACTGGACTCACAAACAGCTGCTTATTTTGGTCCAAAAATACAATAATAATAAGGAAACTTTAGATAGAAAGTTTTCAAAAGGTTTAATTATTATTATTTTTATTATATTTATTTAACCTAATAAAGTAATTTCTACATTAAAATTTTTTTAACAATGTTTTTCTAATTTTTAAAGTAGTATTAACAGTAAGTATTGTTGTGATTAGAGGCTTCAGAATTGTGTTATTTGAATATTGATACATTGGTACATTGGTAAGAAAGAAGGCGTAAACTACCTGGATAAACGCTATTCCCCGGTGCTCTATGATAAGACCGTTAGGACTTCCTGAAGCGCCTTAATTGTAAAAAAAAAAAAATTTAATAGATAACGCGCGTTTTATAGACGTATATAACTTATAATTTTTGTTCCAGCTGTCTCAAAATTAACAAAAGATAACAAATGGTCTAAAATTGTTCTATCGGAACCAATTTCAGAAACTTGGTCTAAAAGACCAAGTTTCTGAAATTGGTTCCGATAGAACAGTGCAGCAATGCAAAAAAAAATTATCAGATCAAAAGTTAGACAGCAAAGCAAAAGCAGCTCGCATCACCACTAGTTTATGTAAGACGGGAGGAGGTGAGGGAAGCAATGAAGAACTGAGTTTAATTGATCAAGTATTAATTACCAAAATGCCAAAAGTTTCTTACATGGTATGGTTAGACATACTTTTTAATTTTACCATCTTATCTTTAACTTTTTTATTTAGTAAAATAGACTTCGAAAAAATTGTTACAACAGAAACTATTGGCTTTTTTAAAGCTTTAAATAATAAATTTTCATATTCAACCATAAAATCTATGTTTATAAAGTTTTTAATATAGGTTTAAAAAAAGTATTGCTTTTATTTTAGGGAATTCCAGGAGGCATTGACACACATAAGCAGTGCAGAATAGATCACGATGAGGACGTTAACATTGACATGATAACAAATAAATTTCTACCACAACCCGGAGAAAAAATAGATGCACAGGTTATTGAGGTAAAGTTATTATTTAAAGTATTATTTTAGCGCTTAATGTACAAACAAAAATATTTTAATTCACCTATAACTTTAATGTTATCTTATTTTAGATGAAAAAAAGCGAAACGATGTCTGAAATATTTAACACGGAGTGTTTTAATGAAAATAGCAAAATACGTATTCAACGGCCTGGTGACAAAGAAAACTATGTTAGAGTAAATATTATTCTTTTATAAAGATCACAAATATAAAAACTTAATTCTTTATATGTAAATTATAACAATGAGCAATTGTTCTATTATTGTTTTGGCATTTAATTATTTTTTTTTAATTTTGTCTTCTTTTGAACTTTTGTTTGATATAGAAAGTGTGAATTATTTTGTTCAACAAGAAGTCTGTTTATAAATATTAAAAGAATCAAAACTTTTATTTTTAAAGAAGAAAATTCCTTTACAACGATCTTTATCTTCTTCATCTACATTTTCTTCATCGCCATTTCCTCAGGTAATGACTCCGCCTGATATTTCAACAACTGAAGTTTACAAAATAAGATAGCTTTAGTTTAAATGCAAAGAAGAAAAAAAATTTTTTTACGATCCACAAAAAATACAAAAAAAAAAGTTTCTCTTTATATAACAAAAAGAAAGGCTTTTTATAACGCTTACTTATTCAAAATATAGTGAATAAAATCTCTTAATTTAGCTAATAAAATTCTTTACTTATATAAATGCTTAAAAGCCTAAATAGTTTTTTACTATGTGATGTGTTTTGTTATTTTCTATACTTAATTCATACTGAAAAAAAAAAAATTTTAGAATCACAGATCTAAAAAGCCAGCGAATAAAACTACAAGCAGAAAGCTGTCATCATCCAATGTTGATGAATGTATGACTAGCATGTAAAAAGTTAGAGAAGAAATTGTTGCAGCCGGAGAGAAAATAGCCACTGCTCTAGGTCGTTCTATTCCAAGCGATAACCTAATCTTTGAAGGTATAGCTGAAACATTGACACGCATAGCATCTTCAACATAAAGTTTAGCCAGCTCTGCTAAAAGAATTGCTTGTTCACTGGAAACGATTACTTCGGCTGAATCTAAAACTCAATAAATGTATTTACGAGTTATTATAAGCATAAAATAAATTTTAAAACTAAAGAAATAGCCTAGTTTCAATAAGACAAACAACTAAAAAACTAATTCAAAATAAAGGGTTTTAAAAGTAAAAAATGCTTCTTTCGCATCTCGAAGAAATAAAAATCCTGAAAATCGCACTATTTTTATCATTGCGTCATGTTTCCCATAAATTTGTACCAAATTAGATAAAGTAAACTGTTCATACTTATTAAGTTTAAAAAATTAGTATATTTTTAAAGGGTTCTAACTACAAATACAATAAATGCAATGATATCAAGCGAATCGACAATCCTTATATTTAATTTTATACCGAAAAGAGGAAAGAGAGGGGTTCAGAATTGATTTACCTGATCTACAAAAAGGTTATATAGGGCCGGTAAATTTTGACAATTGTTTAATATACAACTAAATTTGCAATAATTACTTATATAATCATGAGTAACACCTAAGTAGTGTTTACTTAAAACATTAAAATTTGTATACAATTAAAAATTATTAAAACACAAAATTTGTATACACAAATTACAATATTTCATAGGGGCCTGCAGGATTTTTTGATGTTTTAGATATGACACTTACAGACGTTGTGCAAATTCTGTACTTGAGCATTTTAATGTTATTTTCCTAATTCAATGCCCTGACATTTGACGTGGAGGCGAGAAGCAGGGGGTGGATGTTTGAGGAAAAAATTTATACATATTTTTGTTACCAGACTCAATTCACTGCTTTTTTTTTTCCAAAATATTTGTAATTTGACATAAACATGAACAAAGTTTAGTTTAGAGTTTACACAATGCCTTAAAGTGTCATCTAAAAATTAAAAAAATCCTGCGGACATCCATGCTAAATTTAACAATATATCATTGCCTTCGATTTGCAAACAAATAATTTTTGATTTCTGTTCTTCGTTCAATACCAAGTCGTATTTGGTTGGCTTGTGAAAACTCAGTCTGATTATCATGTAAATTATTTTCCTTGTTATCCTCAAAGTTGATGTCATCTAGAAATTCCAATCCTAAGCAATGGCAAAGGTTTTCTAATAAAACACATGTAAAAAATATTTTGCAGCAAGTTGATGGGGTGTACTGAAGTGCTCCACCACTTTTGTGCAAACATCTCCAACGGCTTTTTAAACGACCAATCGATCGCTCCACATTACTACGTACCTAAGAATGAACTTCATTAAAATAGATTTCCTGTGGTGTAGTTGGCTGATTAAACGGTGTAATCATGACTGGTGATAACCGGTATCCGGAATCTGCAAAAAGAAAACCTTCACTAGGACCATCTTCTAATGTCTGTTTTAATGCAGAATTTGAAAAAACAAAAGCATCATGACAGGATCCAGGATACTTTACAATGACATCTCTAAACTTCCCATCATGATCAATCACAACTTGACAGTTCAAAGCAGGATATCCTTTTCTATAAAATAAGACTTAAAAATTTTAAAAATGTTTATATATAAGTTCAGAAAACACTTAAATAAAAACTTTTTGGGAAACATTGGTAACATGTTAGACTGACAACCTGGTATAACCTTTGGCATAAAAAAACAAACTATTTTGTATATGACCTATTATTATTTATATTATATTAATCTATTAATTATAATACAATAATTATTAAAATAAATTTGTTAATTGAATCAACATTTTTAAATTTTAAAGAACTACGATGTGAAATATAAAAAATTAAAAAATTTAATAATAAAATTGCATTAATATATTAACCTAAAATGATACAATAAAAATAATATATTAAATTAAAATGATTAATTTACCTGCAAATATATGCTGGTTCATCAGCCCCAGTGGCTCCTTTAATTTGTATCATCGTTCCATCTATTACTCCAAGAAGACCTTTAACTCCATATGATTGAAAGTACTTTCGCTTTATTTCCGTCATTTCTTCTGGACTTTCATATCATTTGACAAGGTAGAGATAGTGGTGGATAAAATATTTGCAAAATTGGTGAAGTATACGGCTGCAGCTTGGCTGGCTTACATGAGAGGTGTCACCTAAAGTTATATGAAACAATATGTAAGCCAAATACGATTATGGGTCATTATACTTTAAATAAAATAAAAGCATAACAAGTTATGTGAGAGAAAAGTGAACTTTGACAGAATAAACCTACAAATAATTTCCAAAATACAGCTACACCTTACAAAAAGTCTGCAAAATACAAAATCACTGTTAGAAACACAACTATAAAAGAGTTAATTACGGATTAAATTAATCTATCTATTTCATTATGTTAAGTTAAAAAGACAAGGTTTTGTTAAATTTTTTATTAACTGATAAACTGAAAAAAGTTAAATTTAAACTTTTTCTACAAACTACCACCTTTAAGCTCAATTTCTAATAGTTCATTAACGAAAGGCATATTTAACAATACAGGATCATAAAATTTCATCTTTTGATTGCTAATTGTCTTTGCATTGACTACAAAACTTACCAATTACTCCTTGAAAACTCCCACTTGATAAAAGCCTTAGTGATATTAGCACTTTTGCTTCTGAGGAAATTGAGTTGCTTCTGAATGTGATTGGTGACATATCATTGTGTAATGTGTTGACAATATCTCTTATGTTTTTTTTAAGCAAACGAAATTTTTGGACACACTTCACGTCAGTGTAATCATCTAAAGTAACACGCTGAGTCTCATGCCACATTTGATCATGACTATGAGTAGCTAGAATAATTGAAATATCCATTTTAAATTAAATAAAGCTGTAAAAAAAAAAGAACTATTAGTATATATGTTATATATTATTCATATTATATATTATTTTGATACAATCAATCAATCATATATTCCGAAAAATATTTTCATGGATATTTACAAATAGTAATTTTAGTAACCTTAAGTGAACACCAAAAATACAGAACTTTATATATATAAATAATAATTATAAAATAGTAATGATAATAATAAAAATAGTATTTAGAGTAATAAACCAAAAAAATTACAATAATAATAAAACAACAAAAACATTAACAATAATAATAATAGTAATAATAATAACAATAATAATAATAATAATAAAAGTAATAAGTCACTTGTTTTTATAAACACAATAGCTAACTACACAAAGTTAGCAACATTTAAATAAATAAAAAATACATACCAATGCAAACAATGCAGTAATATTTATATATATATATATATATATATACATATATATATATATATATATATAAATATATATATATATATATATATATTTATATATATATATATATATATATATATATATATATATATATATATATATATATATATATATATATATATATATATATATATATATATATATATGATTTAAATTCTTAGATTTATTTATTTTGATACTTAGATTTATATATCAATCTGAATATATGACTTTATATGAATCATAATTATAAAGATTTTAAAGTTACGCCAAAGTTAAGGTACCTCATAGCTAACGTAACTTTTCTTGCTTAAATTGAGCTGACAAGTTTTTAAATAGTTTGGAGAATACCATTTCAGCTTGATGAATACCGATTTTTTAGCGCTGAACTTACGAAAAAACGTAACTAAGTTTTGTGAAACGCAACTGCGCAAGTTTCGTGAATACGAATTTCACTGTTTTGAACTTACGCCAAACTTACGCAAAAAAAAAGTTTGCTGAATACGCTCCCAGGTTGACACTTATTATGAAAAATGTTACTGAACTAACTTTTTGGTATATCTTAGTATATATAACTTGTACTGGAAATTTTTTTTTATTGTACCACATAAACGTCTGTGAGACCTTTATAGATGTAAGTAGATTAATCTAACTTAAAATATTTAACCAAATATAATTTACCAAAATAATAAAGATTTCTAAAGTTCAATTTAAAATACTATTTAACACTATTTTAAGGAAAGTTTAATTTTAAAATATTATTTGGAAAAAAAGATTGAGTTATAATGCGTTGACCCAAATCAAATTATGCCCCCTACTCCTCTTTGTTTCTTTTAAGTCTGACCAATTTGAGTGTATTTCACAAAAATGTTTCAATAATTTTTTTAAATGACTTTTGTTAAAATAGTCACTAAAGCTAAAAAATTTTTCTGTAGCAAAACTAAAGAAATAGTAAACCCAATTTGATTTTGTACATATATATAAGAACAGCATTTATAAAAATGTTTCAGATGAATATCTTATATGGTTCTTGAGAAAGCAAGAACCATATAAGATATTCATTTTGAAGATATTTTTTATAACAATATCTTCAAAAATAGAGCGGTGCCGGAGAACTAATCAACATCCATAATTGTTCCAATAGTAAAACCCAATAAAAAATGCCTTTGTAATCCCAATAACTATCGCAGTATACAAAAATAATAACTCATCAATATATATTTGTAGTTTATATGCAATAAGTTTTGCAATAACTGTACCTGGGATTTGTTGTTTGAAAAACTTTATTACAACAAAAAGTTACCGCTCTCAGTAGTTCGTGCACTACAATCACTATCCTTATCGGGTACTGCTAATAAATCGTACCTTGGGCATAAATCAAATCAATTCCGTTTATCTCAATGCGTGCAACGAGGATCAATTTTATCTCCACATTTATATAATATGTTCACTCAAAGCACATTAAATCAAATTGTTTCAGATTGCAAAAATTGAACAACAATAAGTGATGTACTTTTGTACATCACTTACTACAATTGTATTTTTGCATATGCAGACGATATTATCTTATAAATTCCTGCTCTTTCTGGTCTGTAAAAATTAATATTAAAAGTTCAGTAATAATGCCAAATGCTAAATATTAAATTTAACACCGAAAAAACCAAATTTACTTTAACTTTCACCAGATTAACCGAATCTGGTAAAAGTACAAAAAACACAATTCAAATATGTGGCACTTCCCTACATCTTAATAATAAACTAAAACACCTCGGATTCCTATAGGATAATCAAAATCATACGCAAAGTATAGCAACACTTCAAACAACAAATGTAAACAAATGTCTTATTCAGTTTCAATCAATCTTTAGAGCTCTTTTAAATTCTGATATTCGTTTTTGTCAATCATCAACTATAGTACATTTATTCTCTGGCTGTGTCGAGTCTGTGACACGGTTTATCAATGTATTGCTATAATCCCTGTTCCTCAAGGATCAATTTTAGGGCCACTTCTATTTCTTGTTTATATAAACGATTTAAATAAATTTTCTAACATTTTAAATACAATTTTATTTGCAGATGATACCAGCTTGTTTTATTCCAATAAAGATATCAATATATTATTCCAAACATTAAACAAAGAACTAGACAAACTAACCCAATGGTTTAAATCAAACAAATTATCTTTAAATATTACTAAAACAAAATACACTTTATTCCATCGCCTACATAAAAAATCAGATATTCCCTTAGAACTCCCAGACCTTTTTATTGACAATCAATTAATAAAGAGAGAGCAATCAATAAAGTTTTTAGGCGTGTTTCTAGACGAAAATGTAACCTGGAGGGAACACATAGGTGTAGTTGAAGATAAAATATCAAAAAATTTAGGAATAATGCACAAAGCAAAGCAGTTATTACATCGATCTTGTTTAAAAAACATTTACTTTTCTTTTATTCATTGCTACTTAAGTTATGCGAACATTGCTTGGTGTAGCACTAACGCGACAAAAATAAAAAAGTTGCTTAGCAAACAAAAACAGGCTATAAGGATAATTTCAAACGTAGATCGTTTTTCACACACACAAACACTTTTTAATGAACTCAATATCCTAAATGTATATAAACTAAACCTCTATCAAGTTCTTATTTTCATGTTCAAACTTGATAAAAATATATTACCAATCTTATTTTATTCAATTTTTGAAAAAATAAATCACATATACCCTACAAGATTTTCAAAATACAATTACATTCAATCCAAAACTTATTATTCCGCTACTAAATTCTCTATTGTAAACCGAGGACCAAAGTTGTGGAACATAATATTAAATAATGAAATGAAAACTAATTATTCTCTAAACCAATTCAAAACAAAACTTAAGCAATTACTTTTGTTAACTGAAAATGAATTAAATTTTTTCAAATAAAACTTTTTTATATTAGAAATCAATAATTAATAGTTAATTAATTAATTACTTTAGATTATTAATACATAATTAATCAACATCAACATTTTGCGTTATTTATTAATCTTTTACTTTTATTTTATACTGTTTATTTGCTTTTACTTAATTGGCAATGAAAAGTATTATAAATATAATTAAATAAGTTAAACTATAAAATGCTCTACCAATAAAATGTTTTTATATAAAATCATATCTTTTTATTTTTTCAAACCAAGTCTTAAATGTTATTTTTGTCATTTTAATATTTTAATAAATTTTGTTTCTTTTATTTTACAAAACAATTGTTAAATCTTATTCTTTGAAAAACTATAAATTTTAAACGATATGCGATATATTTAAATTTTCTTTTATAATATAAATCAGAGATATATACATTGAAACTATATTTTATTGTCAAACTATATTTTGTCTAGTAATGACGCATTTTTTGGGGCTTAATGATAAGACTAAATTTGTCTTCTTCTAGCCCCGGTCATGTAATTATTTTTTTTTATAAGTTACGACTGTAAATTTATTTTTATCGGCAAAAAGTGTAAATAAATAAAAAATTCAGTTCCTATTAAATTAGACGCTGTTGGAAGGTTAGTATTAAAATTCCATTTCAATATATCAAAGTAAATCAAAAACTATCTTTGTCCTTTCTTTAAAATTGATGATATATCTACCATCCTCATTCAAAACAAGTTAAATCTGTTTATCAGATATATGTTTATCAGATATCTCGCAGACTCAGATATCTGATGTTACTAAAGATAACCTTTTTATCAACAAACTAATCAAAATGTACAATCAAC